AGAAGGACAATAAGTAAATAAATAAATAACAAAGCAAACAAACAAGCAAGCAAGCAAACAAACCAACAAACAAACAAACAATGGATAAATAAATAAGACTAGCAATTCCATAAAAACTCATATGATTCGTGTATATGTGACTGATTAGTCCCTTTCTAGAGGTTTCGAATGCGTTGAAGGCCCTTTCCAGACCGTTAGGTCAGAGCTAGGCGAACCGAGAGGAGGGCATCGTCCCTAGAAAACTGGCCCCACAAGATTCTGGAAAGCCCTCTGTTCCTGGAAGAGTTTATGTAGGGTCCCTTGAAAATCGTGTCATATCCAAAAGTAGTTGTAAATTATCGAGTTTTAAGCTTCAGTCTTGTATCCATTTTGTAAATATAAGCTTGTAGAAAGAAATATTGTGGTTGGTTAAACTCTGTATTTCTAAAAGAATATTTGGTGACCCCGAAATTTTGAAACGTATCTACCATGGATGCCCTTCAGAGAGCCAGACGACCAGTTCGGAATGGAGCTAAAAAGAGGATAGCTGAGTTAAACAGACTGTTCCAAGTGGAACCAATTTCGAAGGAAAGGATTCAATTTGTTCTGAAGGCACTGAATGAGGAACAAATTAACTTAGCAGAGTTAGACCAGAAGATTTTAGGTCAGATGGTGGATGAAGGAGTTGACGAAACGGATCAAGACACGGAATATGAAGCTATTATAGAAATGAGACAGCAAATAATGACAACTTGTTTTAAAGCTGAAGAAATCATAGAATCTTTGGTACCAGTCGTATTGCCCCCATCCAGTATCACATTTGGATCTGAAGGTGGAGCAAGAGGATTTCGATTACCCAAGATCGAGTTGAAGAAATTTTCAGGAGAGTTCAAGGATTGGTTAGGATATTGAGCTCAATTTGAAAAAATTGACCAAGATAGTTCTTTGCCCGTCAGTGATAAGTTTCAGTATTTACTTCAGTCACTTTTACCTGGAACCGATGCAGATGAGATAGCAGGTAGCTATCCCCAGTCAAATGAAAACTATCCTAAGGTAATTGAAGCTCTTAAAAGAAGATACGGGAATGAAGATTTACTACTTCAAGTTTACATTAGAGAATTATTAAAGTTAGTCATTTCCAATGTGAATTCAAATGACAAGATCCCTTTTCAAATGTTGCATATTAAGGTAGAATCACACTTCCGAGCACTGAAAACACTTAATCTTGAAAAAGCTGATCCTGCCACATGGCTTTATCCATTAGTTGAGTCAAGTCTACCAGAAGAGATTCTTTTGACATGGCAGCGTAGTTCTTTGGCTGTCCATGATCATTAGTTGAGTCAAGTCTACCAGAAGAGATTCTTTTGACATGGCAGCGTAGTTCTTTGGCTGTCCATGATGGAAGTAAAGATACACCTTCGAGGAACCGCTTAGACCTGCTCATGGAATTTCTGGATAAGGAAGTAGGGATCCAACAGAAGATTAGTTTGGCTCGAAGAGGATTTGGAATGGAGATCAAGCCAAAGAAAGAAAATGTTCAAGCTAAAAACAAATTATCTCAACCTACCCCAACCTTAGCTTCTTGTCATGATGGAGATCAATCTTGTTTATTTTGTGGGAAGAGTCATGAAAGCAAAGAATGTAGTAATGCTAAGAAATGACCACTTGAGAAGAAAAGAGATGTACTAAAAGAAAAACAAGTTTGTTTTTTCATGCTTCAAGAGTGGACACCCGGCTAAATTCTGCAAGAATAAGAAGAATCTCAACTGTTTCATTTGTGGCGGAAAACATTATCCTGTCATGTGTTCTAACCTTGCTGATAAATCAAAAGGGAATAAAGTTACAGATTCTACTACATCTGCCACTGCCGAAAATGTGCCCGGATGTGTGAATCAGATTTGTAGCAAAGAAATAGCTCTACAGACACTTATAGTTCGAGCAAGATGTGGAACTAAGGAGAAGACAGTGAGAATATTCTTAGACAACGGCTCCCAAAGATCCTACATTTTGAAATCAACTGCTAAGGATCTAGAACTAGAAGTAAAAGGAACAAACAAAATTACTCATTCACTCTTTGGAGGCACTCAGACGGAAGTAATTACTCACAATATACATCATGTGACATTGGACAAGATTGGTGGAAAAGAATATTCATGTATCATTGGAGTACGTGACGAAGAAAAGATCTGCAACTTTATTCCACGTGTTTCAAGTAACTCTATTGTAGTTAAAGAGTTGAACAGGAAAAAAATAAAGTTGTCAGATGTGGGAGATGGATGTCCTCCAATTGAAATCTTACTTGGTGTTGACGTTTATGGGAGACTTCTGACGGGAAACAAAATAACACTTTCCAATGAAGTCACAGCAATTGAAACGAAGTTAGGTTGGACGTTATGTGGGAGGATGGGTGAAAGAGATGATAATAATTTATCAATGTGTATCCTGTCTATGGTTATTCAAGATGCATCGGTTTCACAGCTTTGGGATCTCGATCTACTTGGAATTCGAGATGAAACTGATGTGATATCTGTGGAACAGCAAGAACAAGAAGATAAGCAAAAGTTCTTTAACTGTTTGACAAGGAATGCAGATGGGAGATATGTTGTATCCCTTCCTTGGATAGATGACCACCCACCACTACCTACAAATTATGAAGTTGCAAGGTTACGCTTAAATCATGCTACTAAACGTTTGGAAGAAAATAAACTGTTTGAAGAATATGCTAAATTGTTTCAACTATGGAAAGACGAAGACTTTATCGAAGAAATCAACCCTATTGTCTGTGACAAGAAAGAAAAGGTTCACTATGTTTCCCATCGAGCAGTGATCAAACTGAGCAGTTCTACTACCCCGGTTAGACCTGTTTTTGATGCCTCATGTAAGGTTGGAAAAGGACCTTCATTGAACGAGTGTCTTAAGAAAGGAAATAACTTTATCAAAATGATTCCTGATATGTTGTTACTGTTTCGAGAAAAGAAAGTGGGATTTGTTTCTGATATTCGCAAAGCTATCCAGATGATTGAAGTGAATGAACAAGATAGAGATTGTATGAGATTTCTTTGGTGGAAAGATAAATCCAAACAACACGTAGTAGAATACCGTCACAAACGTGTCATGTTTGGTACGAATTGTAGTCCCTTTATCCTTGGAGCAGTCTTAGAATTTCATTTGGTAAATGTTCAGAATGAAAACAAAGACATTGCCCAGAAACTGTATAATTCTTTATACGTGGACAACTGTGTCAGTTCTGAAAATACCGTGGAGGAGTACAAGAATTTTCGAACAAAATCAGTTCAATTGTTAGCTGAAGCTGGAATGGACTTGAGACTTTGGATGTCAAATGTAGATGAGATGGAAGACAAGAATAGTCATGTGATTTCAGTACTAGGAATGCAGTGGGATCGAGTTTGTGATGAATTGTATGTTGATGTGAAACTCCCTACCTTACCTGAAATTATCACAAAGAAAGTTATGCTGTCTATTGCCCATCAAGTTTTTGATCCTATTGGTATTGTCTGTCCAGCTGTGCTTCCAGTGAAAGTCTTACTTCAGAAGACATTCATTAACAAATTGAATTGGAAGGAACCTGTCCCAACCGAAGAGAAAAATAAATTTACGGAATGGTATGAACAACTACATTTGTTAAGTCAAGTCAGAATTCCTAGATGTGTAACTGGAGGTGAATTTGATCGAAGTAAATGGCCATTTCACGTTTTTACGGATGCAAGTGGTTTGGCGTATGGTGCTGTGATTTTTCTCCGCGTGGAACATGTGGGAGGAGTTTCAATACAACTGATTTCTGCTAAGTCTCGAGTTGCCCCGATTAAGAGGATAACAATTCCAAGGCTGCTTAATTGGTACAAGATTGGCTGTTTCTGTGAAAAAAGGATTAAAAGCTGAGGATATATTTACTATTTTTTGGTCTGATTCAAGTACTGCATTAGCCTGGATAAGGAAAGACAACATGTGGGGTCAATACATTGGGAACAGAGTGAAAGAAATCCGACATTTGACTGATCCTACACAGTGGCGTCATGTTCCCGGAAACATGAACCCAGCTGACTTACCTTCAAAAGGCTGCTTACCGACTCATCTTTTAGAGAAAAGATGGTGGGAGGGACCGGAGTGGTTAAAAAGTTCAAGTGACAGCTGGCCTAGGTCTAATGAAGAAGTTGCTGAAGATTTAGTAAATTCTGAATTGAAAAAGACAGAAAATGTAGGAGTCAGTATGTCATTGACTGTGCAAAATTGTACATGACACATGTCAAGATATTTGGATGGGTACATCGCTTCATTGGTAATTTGCTAAAAAAAGTAAGGAATAAACCTAAAGTGGATGGTGAATTGAAATATTCTTTTAGAAATACAGAGTTTAACCAACCACAATATTTCTTTCTACAAGCTTATATTTACAAAAAGGATACAAGACTGAAGCTTAATTTTTATTGACAGTTTTTGACATACATCTACTAACTCGATAATTTACAGTAGTCATTTTTGAAAGTACTCAAAACTCTTTCGGCTCAGACTGTTAGATAAAGGCTAAATAATTTTTGAAATGAGCTAGAAAAGCCTGGAACGCTAAGGTTTTTGATTTTTTCAATCGCCTTTAAAGAACCTCATTAGCTTTTCCTTGGTCTTCTCTGAGATTTTGAGAGAAGAATTTGAAAGCACTCTAGAAAATCAAATATGGAATATCGCACTGCGAGCAATTGGCTCTTGCCGTTTTTAATGAGATGGTTGGTCTGTGGTGATTGGTCCTGAAGCGTTCAGGTAAAATTAATTCGAAAAAGGCTTGACTTTTAAAATCTCGTTAGCATTATCGGTAGCTAACCCGTATCGCCAAAAAAAGCCAGCAATTATCGACTTATTTATAGTGTCCGAGTTAATAAATATGACTCCTTGATAACCACCAAATTTAGAGACACAGTAGTAAAAGTAAACTGTCATAAAAATTCTCGGGCGTTTTAATGACGGCACTAATAAGCTTCCAACTTTTACAATCCAATTTTTTGTTACAGCACGCCAACGCGGTCAAAGCTCAGGCGACCGAGTACGTGCAGAAAAAACAGGCCCGCAAGCTGATGACCCGATCGGTGACCGGATCTCTGGCCCAGGCCCAGCAGCTCATCGACATCGTCGACGTGAAGTTTTTTTCGACCGCGAAAGCGGGCACGTTTTTCGCGAGGTAAGCACGCCCCCGCCCCCCGTTAGCGCTAATTTAATCGCGCCCCTAAATAATTGCAGGGATAACGTCAGCAATTTCATCCACTGGTGTCGGCAGTCGCTGAAGATAATCGAGTGCCTACTTTTCGAAACGGACGACCTAATTTTACGCAAGAACGAGAAACACGTGATTTTGTGCCTTTTGGAGGTGGCGAGACGGGGTGCCAGGTATACTTTTTTCTTTGTGGCTGTCCGTTTTTGATACGAAATTTTGATCAGGTTCGGCATGCTGGCGCCGATGCTGATCCAGATGGAGCGGCAGATCGATAGGGAGATCGCGGCCGATCAGCGGAAGATGGGTTTGAGTATGGACCTGTCGGAGGGTCTCGAAAGTCAGGACGGCGATTTGGACGACGAGAGCGACAGTGAGATCGAGGACGAGCAACCCGTGCTGATGTACGGGCCGTTGCCGCAGATTGTCACTAACGATCTGAAGAGCCTGGATGAAATGGTAAGTGCCTTTTCGTGCTACAAAATCCAAAATGGGGTCCGTTAACTTGGCCCCCCCACTGAGAGATTTGATAGTCGTATTATTTTGAAATGAATGCGCTCGTTATGCGCTCATATGCGCCACCGATAATAACTCTTGCGCCATTATCGTTTTTTAGAAAAATCGAAAAAACATTTGGGGGGGGCAAGTGAACGTAGCCCCCCCCCTCCCCAGTACGTATTTTGTTCCTTGTAACTAGGTCACCTGATACATTTGGTTATGCGCTCAATTGCGCCACTTGAATTAAAGCTAGCGCCATTACGGTTAAGCCGTGACAAATTTTCAAAAAGTGGGGGGGGGGGCAACTTAACGTTTTTAAAAGTTACTTTTTTTTAACATCTTTTCATACGAAATTGTACGCTCAGGTATGCGCTGAAATGCGCCGTAAAAAGATATCTTTGCGCCATTATTGTTTTTTGGTTATCCTTAAATATATTTGGGGGGGGGGGGCAAGTGAACGGAATCCCTCATAACGCATTTTGCTACCGGTATTTGTGTCACTTGATACATCTGGTTATGAGCTCAATTGCGCCACTTGAATTAAAGCTAGCGCCATTACGGTTAAGCCATAAAAAATTTTTAAAAAGTGGGGGGGCTAACTTAACGTTTTCAAAAGTTACGTTTTTTAACATGTTTTTTTCTACTACATCGTACCTTTCATCATGCGCTAAAATGCGCCGTAAACAAAAATCTTGGCGCCATTATAGTGTTTCAGAAACACTATACAGGGTGTTTTTTTTGGGAGCTTTAGTTAAACGATTCTGGGAAAATAAAATAGGTAGGTTTTAAAAAATTTGTATTTAGGAGTTACTCCGAAGGCCGAATCGATGTAAAATATTTTCAAAATGGACGCACTTCCGGAAATAACTTTTGAAAACGCTAAGTTAGACCTCCACTTTTTAAAAATTTTTTATGGCTACGTTCACTTGGCCCCCCTCCCCCAATGTTTTTTCGGATTTCTAAAAAACGATAATGGCGCAAGAGTTATTATCGGGGGCGCATATGAGCGCATAACGCGCGCATTCATTTCAAAATGATACGACTATCAAATCTCTCAGTGGGGGGGCCAAGTTAACGGACCCTCCAAAATGGTGTTTGTCTCGTTCGGTGGGACGCTCGAATAAGACCAGGTAAAAAGGTCAAAGATGGTAAAACTCCGAATCCACAAAATCGTTGAACTCGCGTGCGTGGGATGTGATTAGAGCTCAATAAATCAGTCTGCGTTTTAAATGAAATTAGCTTGCCGTATAATTGACAGAGAGCTCATTCGAACGACGCAGCGTGAAGAAGCTTAACCGGTCCATGCGTTTATTAAAATACGACCTACACTTTTACTCTTTCATAACCAATCGCTCATTATTGCCAAGCAGGAAAGATTAGCACATACCAAGCGAGCCAAAGACTTGGCGTGTGTGCGTACCGATTTGAATGGGAGATAAAAGTGAAATTGACATTTTGAGAGAAGTAGTTCGAATGCGGATATCGATTGGGTTGGACGAACGCCACGCGTTTGCCTGGCGGATAACCAAGAATTCGCCACTTAAAGGTGATGTATCGGAAATTTTCGAGATTACTCATTGTGAAGTACGCTACAATTACTCGTAACGTGACTGTAGAGTTGCCCCAGGTGATTATTTTCGGAAATCCATATTTGCACGATTAGACGCTTTTCCCTTCTAATTCAAACTACTGTTGCTTCAACCAAAACTATCGCTCCAGTCTTTCATATGGGGAATAAAACAAATGCATTGGAAAAACGGCTTGTGCCTGTTGGGGTGGGAAGCAGGTGGTCGAGATTCACCTGTAATTAGGCTCAATTAATTTCAGTAACCACTTGTCTGATAAATATCATGGGCTCATTGCAAAGATAATAAAAAAAAGCCACAACTTTTATGAGAAGTGCAAATCGCGTTTCGCGAACCGTCTTCGCGAAATATGCCAAAATTGTTGCTGAATTAAGTGAGCTGCTTATTCGTAATTCCACAACTGTCAAGCAAATGTTACTTACAATCACCGTCTTTATAAAAAAAATGACGTCGGTAGAAAAACGTCACACACCGTCCACTCGGTGGTTTGTTGCAGAAGCAGAAGAAAAGTCGGTACCCACAAAATCCAGTACAAAGGATATGAAAAGTTGTTGGCAATGGAGGAATAAGAAGCATCTTCTGAACGTATATGGAGCAAATCTCAAAGGCATTTAAATTTTCTACCCTTTGGTGCCTTCATTCAAATTTAAAACGATGTGGCGCTTAAAAAAATGTAAAATTGGCAGACGCTAAATTACGTGTATTTTTGAAACGAAGGATACATGACAAAGAAATTTTTTTCGTTTACAGACAACGGCCTACGAAGACTTTCCATTTCAGTCCCAGATGACTGCTTTATAAGTCATAAGTAACGTTACTTAGCAACCTTCTTTTAATCGCCTGTTTTAGCCCGCTCAAGGGTGCTTTAAACGGCGATCCTGATGCAAATATAATAAACCCCTAAAGAGCATCTAAAAAAGCGGCACAGCACCTCGGTGCGACCCCACGGGGTCATTGGATTTGACCCCCTTTTCAATTGGCTTGTTACATGTGGCATATTGTGCAAAGTTCAACCGAATAGGTTCAAACGTTTGGCAGGGACAGAGAATACCATGAAAGATAAAATTAATTTCTACCGCCTTTCACCCTCCGGCCACCTACTGATCTCGGAAAGGAGTCGCGCAGGAAAGTTATAGTTTGTACAAACCAATTTTATTCGGTGAGACCTTTCATTAGAATACCATGAAGGGTAGAACGTGTATTCCCCCCCCCCCCCCGTTTTCAAAAATTTTACTTAGCACCACTAAATGCATGCGTACCTATGCAACTTCTGAGACCAGTTGGTTGTCGCAGACATTACGCCACAATATAGGTGACAAGCAAATTAGAAAATCGCCATCTTGACCGCTCCAGCAAGATCTCGAATCGTGCAAATTCTGAACGCTAACAAACACAAAGAAAAGCAAAATCCATACTACTATTACTATCAAATTGGGGGTCGTAGCGATTGGAAAGGAAGTTATAAATAAAATGACTTCGGTTGAAAAACGTAACACTGTCCACTCGGTGGTTTGTTGCAGAAGCAGAAGAAAAGTTGGTACGCACAAAGTCCAGTACAAAGGATATGAAAAGTTGTTGGCAATGTATGAATATGAAGTATCTTCGGCATCTTGTTGCTTTCCAACGAGGGTCGTGTTTAAGTGGCGTGGCGAGGTGTTGTATGGAGTGGACACTTCCATAGGTATCAGTGGCATAATTTCTTGGGAAATGCTGACTTGGTTCACTCGCGAGCGGGTACACTTTCCCAGGGTCACTAACAAAACTGTAGCGCGTGTGGGAGAAGTTCAGGATGAGGCCGGAATCTTTTATGAAGTCCATTCCAAGTAACGTACGGGTCTTGGCTTCAGGGAGGATTATAAGCGAGGCCTTGATTGCCTGCTGGTGCTGGTGTATCCGTACTTCTACGGTGACGGTGAGAACGTCGCGGGAGCGTTGTTGTCCGTCAACGAGGACGGGGTCGACTCGCTGGGCGAAAAAGGGTAACCTCGGCTTTGATGGACCGACGAGCTTTGCCGAGTTCCAGTGTCGACGTGTGTGCTCTATCTCAATTTCCAATATTTGTCTCGATCGACGGGCTGGGTCAGTAATTAACATCCGTACTTCTTCAGGTGGGCTGATGGTGGTTGCTGGTGTGTGTACGCTTGCCCTGACTGTTGGCTTCCTCTCGCCTCTTCCATCGTGTGTCCGGGAAACTGGCAAAACCTGCAGCGAGGTTTCTTTTTCTCGGTGGTGGGCCTGGAACTCCTGGGCTCTACCCGCGTACACTCCATTTTCCGAATTTCCTAGGTAAGATCTTGGAATGTGTTGTGCGCGGCACTACCCCTCGGATCCGGAATGTCTCTGACGGTTGTTGTTCCTGGGGAATCTTGACGATCTCGCTGATGAATAGCTCTGTCGGCTTCTTCTCTCCCTTCGCCGCCGAGAAGAACTTCTGTAGGAGTCGGTGGGTTGGGATGGTAGGGCCGAAGTTTTCTTTGAGAAGAGCGACGGCTTTGTCCCACTTTACCATCAACTCCCTACTTCCCCTTGCAGGAGCATCGCCAGCCCTCTGATAGCGTTATCCTCGGCGACGCACTCGTAGTCTTTGTACACAGTAACTAAAAAGCACACTACTCGTTTAGAAGAAATTTCTTAAGCCCTTTCTAGAGTTCTGGATTTTCGAAGACGTGATAGCTCGCTAAGGATCTGGAAAGTCATAGAATGCTACAAAATGCACATATGACTCGTTTAGAGGTGCTTTCCAGAGACGGCTTTTGCCCTTTTTAGAAATTTAGGCTGTCTTGCAGGCCCTTTTTGGATCACTAGATCCTATATAGGACTCGGCGAGTCTTGGATGGTATAAAAAGGCCTTAAGACACTAGAATGATCTTTGAAGGCGATAGGACACCTGAGATAGTCTTCTAAGGCTCTGCAAGGCCTTGGAATTTCCAGTGCCTTGTAGGTCCTTTTCAGATCACTAGATCCTTTACAGGACTAGCCGAAGGTCGGGTGTTCGAATCTGGGCTGAGGTGGGTTCGTTAACTTGGCCCCCCCACTGAGAGATTTCATAGTCGTATTATTTTGAAATGAATGCGCTCGTTATGCGCTCATACGCGCCACCGATAATAACTCTTGCGCCATTATCGTTTTTTAAAAATCCGAAAAAACATTTGGGGGGGCCAAGTGAACGTAGCCCCCCTCCCTAATACGTACGTTGTCGCTTGTAACTAGGTCAACTGATACATTTGGTTATGCGCTCAATTGCGCCACTTGAATTAAAGCTAGCGCCATTACGGTTAAGCCGTGAAATTTTCAAAAAGTTAACGTTTTTAAAAGTTTAACATCCTTTCATACGAAATTGTACTCTCAGGTATGCGCTGAAATGCGCCGTAAAAA